TTGCTTCCTTAAATCTCTTTTTCTTCATTTTCTGTTTAAAGAAATGTTTCCACTAGGAAGTTTCAATGCAAAAGCAGCTTATTCAATGCGTAAAACAAAAAGTGGAAGAGACTTAAGAAAACAGAGAAAAAAATCTAGTTTTGAAGGAGAAGTTACAACAAGCAACTGCTTAATAAGCACCTCTGCAGAATATAATGTATATAAAAAAAAGAATCAATTGGTACTTAAACAGCAAGTGCTTCTAGATTCCTTCTTATCCAGAAATATTCTTGCAGAATACAGCAGTAGGATGTATGTCAGGTATCCCCAGATATTATTGCCATTGGTATGGCATTAGTAAAGCAGTTAGCTAGGACTATGAGGCTGGTATTTTAACTTTTTAAATGAATGTGAATTATTCAGAGAAATTTATTCTGAGGTTGATATTTGACCCAATTTCATCCATTTTACAAATATAGAGCTTTACACTAACTGATGGCTATTGCTTTGAAGATGACTCAAAGAAATGTAAAGTCCACCCTAGCCTTGCAGCTCATTGGGCTACGTGGATAATGTATGCCAAATCTTGTAGCCAACAGCATAAAGGAGAATGGCTTGACAAGCATGCTGCCTGGCTACTGTCAATTTTCCAGCCTAAATGACAAGGTATATATATTTATAGCTGAGCTGAGCTGAGCAGGCTTGACTGAGTTGATTACGTTTCACACAAGCCAAAAGGAAAGCTGAAACTTATACCTCTGCAGCTGTAGGAAAACAATGTACCTACTCCTACATCTCGTTAAAAATGAGAGGGAAATGTGTGAGAGGGGATATATTTTAAAGCTTCATTTTCTCAGAATGTTTATGAAAGTGCACTGGCAAAACATTTTTTTTAATGTCCTTCACTTCCTCAAAAATCAGAAGTCTAAATTCAACAGGTTAAAAGATGGAAAAATAAATGGAAAGAAAAATCCATCAATTTAAAATTAGCAGATACTCTGCCAAGAATTCTTAGTATTAAAAACTCATATCTTGAGCAGGGATGTTTCCCCATTTAAAAAAAAGATTTTGATTTGGGGGGTAAATTTCTTGATGGCATCATCAGAGAAAAGATTAGTCAGAGAATTCAACAGTGCCTCCTTCTGCCTCACATATGCGCTTCAGAGTCTTCATTTCATTTCCCTGTGAAATAATTTAACAACTCTGTCCCAGGTTTCTCATATGTAAAAAAGGCAATGACAAAATCCAGGGTAATATGAGATGCATGGATGAACATTTCTATGAAAAAATAATTAAAAGTCAGCAAGAAATGTAGACATAAATTTCTGTTTTTCCTGGTCTCTCCCATAGCTCCTATTTTCAGATTCAGATCCCTTCTTAAGCAAGATTCAGCAAAAGAGGAGGCAGGAAATGTTGAGGACAAGACAACAAGTGGTATGATTTCTATTTCTGGTGTCTTGTTGCCTAACTGCTTGTTCCATTTGAAACACTCTCACACAAAGTCTTTCTTCCTCCTTTTTAACTTCACAATAATATCTGAAAGCACTTTCACAGGCCAACCCAAATAGAACATAATCACACAGTGCCTCTGTTTCCCCCTGTACTTTCTTAAGAAATAAAGACAAGATTATTCGGGGCATATATATATATATATATACTGCCAGTTGAAGAAGATGAACTCTTTCATAACTTACTCTTTGCTGCTGCATTTTAGTAATCAGTTAAATCATGGTGGGTCATACAATTTAATCAAGGAACAGAAGATATATTTCCAATCAACACTATAATAGTGTAGAAAAGTTACACCAGAGGCAAGGTATATAAGGGCACTCCCATATAGTTTTAATAATTACTGTAGAAACTTGATAACTTTAGTAAGCCATCGCAATATGTATGCTCATATATCAGACCATATAAGGCTGAAAAAAGGCATCTTATTTCTTCAATATCTGGCTAGGATCTTTCCAAAGAAATAATAAACGTTTAACTGTATGAGAAGTTTGTCCACTGAAATGTTGCTCAGAGGCCCTAAAATACCATTCTGCACAGTCATTTTGGACAAGACTGTCACAAGTCTCACACAGAGACCCAGGGGCTTCAAAAGATCAAAATGTGTACAATAATGAAGCATTTAGGAGCAAAGATAAAATTTGAGGGCCTTAGTAGAGTAGCTTGAAATTAAATACAATGAAAACCCAGATTAAAAACAGAGGTAAGCAAGTTCCAGGACTTGGAACTTTGACCCCAGTACTTTTTCCTGCCATGGCAGGGTGTCGGACTTGATGATCTGCTCAGCTCCCTTCTGACCCTACCAGCTATGAAACTATGGAACCTCACATAATTAAAGCAATTAGTTCAGTGGATGCTTTTCCACTGTTATGGGAATTCTGTACTAGATTCTCTCACCTATTGAAGTTCTAAAGCATTTAAGGCGTTCCAGGTTGTATTACCACTCCATTGCACAAACGTATACAGTTTTCCTTTTTTTCCTAAAGCATGTGTTAATACTGGACCTGCACCCACCAGCTAGTTTACTTTGGCAGTTGTAACCTTGTGTATATGTTTATAAGTCTTTAGAGCTAATGCTTGCAAACATATCTTGCACAGTGTGGACTAAATGTAAGCTAATTTTCCATGTGTCTATGTTGAGGATAGTCAGAAACAATAGTTCAAAGAGCATGCATGCTTACTTCATCTAGCTGGGCTGGCAACTCATCACCAAATCACTGTAGCAATCCAGTTGCAAGACAGGAGGAAGAAAGAAGGGACATAAGGAGTACTTTTTTCTTTTCTTTGGTCTTTTTTTAGCTCTAATCTTCACCTGGGCTTAAACTGAAAGATACATGGCAGTCCCTCTCCTCCTATCCCACTTTTTATTTTTAACATGTTGTAACTGAATGGAAAAATCATGGTGACAAGTAAAATGCTTGCCACATTGGAAAATTCTGTAGTAAATGAAACGTCCACATTTACAAATTGAAAAGAGGGTCATAACACACAGACCGTCAGTTGCACAAGTGTTCCAAGAAGTCCAGTAGGAAGCAGAAAGGAAGGGAAGAATATAAGGAATACTTTGACATTTCCATCTTTTCTTTTCCTCATAGCTATATATTTGTTGAGCAGGTGACATAAAAGGTGTTTCCATGTGAAGGCTGAGATTTACGTAATGCCTAATTGCACAGACAAGCTGAGCCTGTGTTGATTGTGTTCAATGTTTTGTCTTAGAATGGAGCAATGATCACTTTTCAGTTCACACCATAGCAGAACTTTTGGTTTTCAGGAGATATGAATAGCTTAGTGAGGGAGGGCTAGGACTACATTTCCCACATACTTGCAACTGCCCTGGCTCTCCACACTTTCACCATACCATAAGCATGCTGACACCCAGCCACCCTAGGTTTTTGCTTCCAATCCACCAAGTGCCCAGAAGCTGTGCCTGGGAATTACTGACAGAGCCTTAGCCAACTTTTATGAAATATCACGCTTGTTTGCATTCTCATGGACATACTTACTACAGACTACTGTGGCCTCCATCTCAACTGAGTAAAGGGAAAAGTGCAGGAAATTCATTTATTCTTCCCTTGAAGTGATGCAACAGATCCAAGGATGGAGGACTAGGCCATACTAGCCCAAAGCAGGTGGAACCATAAATATCTTCTTTCATCCTCATCATTGGTATGTGAAGGGAGCAAGGAGCACACAGCACTACATGAATTTTCTCAACTCTGCCCCTTTCCCTCTGCCCAGAAATAGGAGATTGCATCACATGTAGGGACTGCTGTGGAAGGGGGCATGGGGGATTTTTGTGGGAGAAGCTGATAGACAATATTCCCTTATGAATATTGTGACACCTCATATGCTTTACTGCTGCTATCTAGTGCAACCTTTTGGTATTTATTATCCGTTATATTTTTTACTATCCATTATACTTTTAATAAACCTTGCTCAAGTGTTCTTGCATTTAAGGGGAAAAGGTGGGGAGCAAGAGGAAAAGCATTTGTGCTTATCCACAAAGGTTCATAGATTCATAGATGCTAAGGTTGGAAGGGACCTCAACAGATCAAGTCTGACCCCCTGCCCTGGGCAGGAAAGAGTGCTGAGTCAGATGACCCCAGCCAGATGCCTATCCAGCTTTCACTTAAAGACCCCCAAGGTAGGGGAGAGCACCACCTCCCTTGGAAGCCCATTCTAAATTTTAACCACCCTTACCGTGAAGAAGTTTTTCCTGATATCTAGCCTAAATCTGCTCTCTGTTAGTTTATGACCGTTGTTCCTTGTTACCCTAAGAGGCATCCTGGTGAACAGAGCATCTCCGATCCCTTGCTGCATCCCCCTAATTAATTTGTAGGCAGCCACAAGATCACCTCTCAGCTTTCTGTTGCGGAGGCTGAAGAGGTCCAGGTCCCTCAGTCTCTCCTCGTAGGGCTTGCCCTGTAAGCCCCAAACCATACGAGTAGCCCTCCTCTGGACCCTCTCGAGTCTGTCAACATCCTTCTTGAAGTATGGCACCCCAAACTGGTAAACTTTTCTACACAGGTATCTTACCGGTTTATCACTTGAACATTTTTGTTTTCATATTTTCCTATAATCTTCCTCTTTCCAAAAATGTACATGTACATGATAATGATAATAACTTACCCTTCATAAAAGGATAATGATAACGCCTTACTCTTCATAAATGGATTGCAAAAACACTTTAGGTGATAGATAGATGGATGTGTACATGTGTACGCATACACGTGAACACAGTGTGTTTAATATATAAATATGTATGTTATAGTTTCCCATTCTCTGAAAGTCATATAGGTACTTCTACAGCAAAACAACTAGACTTCAGCAATGCATATCCATGACTCTCAGCAGCTAGGAAGAAGGTAGAAGCAGCTGTACTCAGTCTTCAGCTGTCTAGATTCCCTCTGTAGTTCTGTTACCTAGAATCTGGCCCAGACACTGGAATTAATCCTCCTCCTCTTTGTAGAAATGCTGTATTCATGGGATTACAAACATGGAAGGCCAAGAAGTCAGCTTTAGCTCTTGTTTATATATTGATACTTCTTACAAAATATAATCATAAGATGACCATTTTTCCAACCCCCCCAACTTTTACCATTAATCAACAAACCCAGAATGTTAAATTGTTTTATCTTTGACTACTGTTATATGTGACCAAGTGTCTCTATTCAGTTTTGTATTACTGCATAAGTACCACACATGTATTACTGCTCTAGATGCACAGATTCAGAGAACTTGGGTGAAGACAGCCACTCTTCTCTTAAGACAAGAGGTGTAATTTGTATAAATGCTGGAACCTGTGAAGAGAGAAAGGGTTTGGGTAACCTGAGATGTGTGTCAATGACAGCAAACAGGATGAGAAGACTCACTTGGACAAGCTATTCTTCTCCACTACGGAAAAGAAAGCAAGCCAGACCTGCCTAAACTCTGGATAGAGGGCTTAAATACAGGTTTGCCAGATATAGGCACATAACTCCAAGGCAATACTACTTACATTTTACTGACTCCCCAAAGTAAACTGTGAACTACTTTAGGGACTGTTCTTACCATTAACGTAGTAGTAAGTACTGTTTATGTTTTGCAAAGATACATACTGGTGCTACTGTTTGATATTACCTCTAATCTATCAATCGTCCAAACAGCAGCAATTTAAGGTACAGCTGAATTTCTCCTAATAGTCCATATAATACAGTGAGTCAAGCAAGTGGTCTCACAAAGAGCTGAGCCAACCTGCAGGAGATGCTGTCAGCCTTCACTGGAATGAAAGCTGGAAGTGCAATTCTGTTCCAAACCTCAGCCTTTCAGCTGGTAGTGCATCTTATTTCCACTGTGTCACAGTGCATGCTACATAAAGTACATGCCATTTAAACAGTCAGTTTGGCATAAAGTTAGACAAAGCCTTTTTGACACAGGAGATAAGTTAAAATAAAAAAAAATATATTATTTCCAATACCAAATGTTCATTTAACTTTTGCATGTGATATCGCTTTTAAAGAAGGTTTCAAAGCTGGAAATATAACTTAAGTGAAATTTAAAGATAGCATCATCCTGCCTTCCCCATGCCACACAAAGATTTTTCAGGGAATGGTAAAGCTACACAGTTTCTTGGAAAAGTTTGTTGTAGGCCATGGTACTGTTTGTCGCCAAAGTGGTTTTCAGACATTGCCAGAAATAAGGCTGCGATTGAGGGTTGGCTGGCCATTCCAGGACAGAGCTACTGCACAACCTCTTTCTCAGCCGGAGGTACCTGGAATTCTGCAATGCTTTCTGTAGAAATATCAGAATAATCACATCCAACTTTTCATCCATAAGTCTTTGGTGAGCCATGTAAAATGCAGTCTTGAAGTTACCACTTTTTGAGTACTCTTTTGTCAGAACAAATATGGTTTTTCTGCTCAGTTGTATGCTCTGGGAAAGGTTGTCTAAGACTGGTTGCCCAGGGAGCCAGTCTCTTTCTTCCAGGCATAAATTGAACTGTTTATCTTTTTGATCTTCCATTTTTTCAACTAATTCTTTCAAGACCCATTCAGTTACAGCTGGATCATTCTTATCATAGGCAACAAAAGCATCGTAGCAGGTGTTTGCTGAAAGCAAACGCTGATAACCTTTTAGCTTGGCAGTACAGTAATGATAGCTATACCACATATCCCAGAAATAGAGATGGTTAATGACAGCAAACACCATTATACATAGGATAAGTGTTGCTAACATAGAATACAAAATCAAATAAGAGTAGTCTAACTCGCAGGTATACATATCCAAAAAAATCACACTTTTTCCTTTATGTGCGCCTGGGCCTGCACATGTCACATCTGTGGCTAGAAGTGGAATAGTAACCTCAGTCTGATTGATCCACCAAACAAACCATACAGCATCACAAATGCACTTGAAAGGATTTCCATGTAGAAGCAGCACTTCCAGATTGTTGATGACATTCTCTGGGAAGCTAGATTTCCTAATTATTTGGATCTTGTTTAAGCTGAGATCCAAGTACTTTAATTGGAAAGCACCGCTAAGAAAGTGCATAGTCAGCCTTGGAATTTGATTGTTTTGCAGTATCAGTTTCTGGATAGTTGAAGAGCAATTCGACAGCTTCCTTGGAACAGTAGTCAATAGGTTATTGCTAAGATCCAAGTTTTTGAGTTTCTTTAGAAGGTGTAGTTTTCCCCAGTTGAAAGTCCTTAACTTGTTACTGGTTAAGTTAAGTTGCTTGAGGTTTGGAGGCAGGTCTTCAAAAACACCAGGAGGCAAAAAATCCAGAAAGTTGAAGGAAATGTCCAGTTGCTCTAACGTGGTCAAATTCTTGAAGAATGAGAGGTATCTAGCATCTCCATCCCTCCATAAAATATCTAAATGATTTCCTTTAAATTCCAGAATTTGAAGAGATTGACTTTCCATCCCCGTGCTTGCAGAAGTAGAAATTTCATTCCAGTTCATCACCAGTTTCTTCAAAAAGGCCATATTCTTTGTAAAATTGAGCATATGAGTTATACCTTCTGACAGAAAATAATGTTGGTTATAACTAAGGTCAAGAATTTCTAGATGTTTAAGCTCCTGGAAGGCAGTTGAATATAACAAATCAAGCCTGTTGTTAGAAAAATCTAGATATTTCAATCCAGCCAAAGGGCGGAATTCACTTCCATTCAAAGTTTGACTAATGGCATTACCTGATAAATTGAGGCATTTTAGGAAACTGAGATGTTGGAAATCAGAGGGGTTAATAAAAAATATGTCATTTCTGCTTAAATCTAGAGTTTCTCCATAATTTAGGCAATCTTCATCAGCAAAAGGTTGGAAGGAAGTAGCCTCTTTGTCCTTGGACTTACAACCTCGTCCATACTCATCATACCTGAAATAGTGCATCTCTTGCCCTATTTGGTTACTGTAGTGCTTTACTGAAGCCCTGGGGGTAGAACAGAAACCATTATTACTGCCTTCACCTGAATAAGGAGATATTTTATTGACTGAGAGGTCTATGACTTTAAGAGATGGGAATTTTTTAAACACATTCAGGTTAGCAACTTTGATAAAATTAGTTCCAAGGTCCAGCACAGTCAGATTTCTAAGATGAAGCAATGGAGACAGATTTTCTAGATTCAGTTCTCTGAAGACATAACCTCTGACCCTCAAAATTTCCAGGTTAGAGAGAGAGGCAAATGTCTTAGACAGGTTCAAAACTGTAGAATAGACCTGAAGATCAAAATTAAAGGAGAGATCCAGCTCTACAAGATTGGGAATAAGATTCAAAAAATGAGCCTCTCCAATTTCCTTGGCTAGGAAATTTTGGGAAAGATCAAGCACTTGTAGATTTTTGGTGTTTTTAAACCAGCTGTTGGGTACACAGTGAAGGGAATTACTGTGGAGCCGCAGAATTTTTAATTGTTTTAAGGAATCAAATGCTTGGGGATGGATTGCAATTGGGGCATTGTGGGGACAAGGAGTACAAGGAAATGGAGAGTTGTAGCAGCGAGGGCAATTTCCACTTAAATCAAGAATTTCCAGATTGTGAAGGCCATTTAAACTGTGCTCCTGAACAGCTTGAATCATGTTATTGTAAAGGTATAGTTCTTTTAAAGTGGATGGCAAATTGTGGGGGACATAAGTTAAATTATTGGATTTGAGGGACAATACAATTAAACTTTTTAAGTCCTGGAAGGCATTTTCTTCTATTTCAAATGAAATGTTGCAGGGATTCCGATAATAGCAGTTCTGGCCCAAGTACAACTTTTTAATGTTTCTGAGTTCTGATAATTTCTCTTTTGTGAGAGAAAAGATGCTGTTGGCTTCAAGGCTTAGCAGGCGTAAATTAGGAGGAAGACTCCGAGGTATTTCCAACAGTTGATTTCCATCCAAATACAATGACTTTAACTTCGTTAGTATGGCAAAGCTGCCATTTGCAATCTGTGGTCTCCTAGTACACACGTGATCTTTTGGCCCCGATTTGACAGGCACACAGTTACACCTGAAATCAATCTCTGTGAGATTATCAAGGTGGGCAAAGGAGGTTGAGAAAATGCTCGGGATATGATTAATAGTAAGAATCAGGTTTGTTGCATTTGCAGGAATCCCTTCTGGGATTTCTGTGAGATGACGCTCGCTGCAGTCCACTACCACGCTGGCTTTTGAGGCTTCTACTTTTACATCACAGGGTAAGCTTTTAGGAAACCATCTGCATGATAGCAGGTTTGGAAACAGAAAGAGCACAAGTAACAGCAATCTGTTTGAGGGTCGTCTATGAAATGCCTGGAAAGAGGGAAATAAACACATGCTGATTTAATAAAGTAGCAATGTATATATGTCTACCATTATTCTCTCTCCAACCCTTCAGTACAGTAAACTACTATTACTACTGTCTAATCAACCATGTGCAAACAAGTATTAAAGATCCTACCCCAAAATCATCTGTACAGCAGTAATGGATTACATTTCTGTGATCCCCCCCCAATCTATTTCCAAGCATAGGTTACACATGAAGACCCTGACAAATCTAGATTTTAAATGATCTATCTTGAAATTTCCTAGTTTTCATTTAAAAGGATACTAAAAATTACTACACTTAACAATCAATTTGAATAGTTCAGCTCCACATGCTAACTCAGTACAGAGAAGTTTAGTATTTATTTCATTTAATTTCACATTTATCATCTACTGCTTTATATTTCTGCACATCTTTGGAGAGAATAGCAATATGTGACTTAAAGATATAGTGCAACTATTATTTTATACTGTAGTCTGTTTCTGTAAGTCTTTTGAGAGTATAGTAATATTTTATTTAAATTCTAAGGGAAATATTTCCAGCATCTCATTTTAAACACAAGGTAAATTGCAACTGCACAGCATGTACACAAGAAACAGTGAATTCATATACACAGAGATAGAAAATAAAAGGACTTGTGTTTTGCATATTTTGTAGTCATGAATATATAGATATATCATAGGCAGATTCTATTTATCCTGGCATAAATTATTTAAAAAATAACTAATGATTTGAGTACCCAACTTGATATAGAATCAACCAAAATCATTACAGTATACTTTATTTAAGTACATAATCTCAGGACTGAATTGAGACTCTACACACACCTAACTCATTCTAAATACTGTAATAACTTGAATACAAGATGAGGTTTTTCCCCTCAATTGGCACGGGAAGAAAAAGCCCCTCATCTTACGATGGAATGCAAGGAAATCTCACTAAGTCTATGGGCTATGATTAAACTTCTGCCAAAAGCAACATGTGCTCAGTAATGGAAACTAACTATAAAGTTGACTAAATCAACAGTGAGCATAACTATAAAACACATAGTCCACACTGGGCAAAAATGCTGATCATGTTGATGGGAACTTTGCGTGTGTGCGTGTGTGTGGCCCTTGGAAAAAAAACCCAGCTCCATGAGGAACTGGCACCAGGCCTGGAGGTACTGCAAGATCAGGCTGGGACTGGGAGCGCCAGAGCCAGTCCTGACACCCTCCCTTTGGTGCCAACATTTGATCTTAACTAAAAAGGCCAAGATGCTGATGGGAACCATTTTTACTCCATTTTCCATATATAGAATCTAATTATTGAGGGGTCATTTAATAATCAGGGTAGTTTTCTATTTGAGTAAACACGGTAATGCCTATTAACTGCTACAGGAACAAATGGAATTACACTTTTTACACTTCCTTAAGTCTCCTTACCTTGTTTCTGAGAGTGCCTTAGACTGCTAAGAGCAAATTTAAAATTGACAGGACCTTGTCAACTCAAGGCTGCTTTAAATAACTTGAAATTATAGTTCCTAATCTTTTTCACCAATTACACAGTTAAACTGAGTACAAATAGGCCAAGAGTTCCTACGCACCTAAGTGGTTTGTGAACTTAACCAATATGCAGAAAACCAAAGTTTGTTACAATGTAACCAATAGGCAACAAATTGAAACTGGCACTGCTATGCAGCTAAATTAATCATGCATATAAAGTGGAGTATATTACTTTCTTTTAAACTCTCGTAGTTTTAATACTATTTTACCCAATTTATTGTAAGCTACTACCTTAAGAATAACTTAAACATTGTTATGCATTTAAGCTGTTGGTGTCCCTTAAATAGAAACAAATGATATCCCAAATCAGTGACATTTCAACTGAAAGAATTTCCAAAAGTGAGCTCTGTTTTCACACAAACTTTTGTTGTTTTGGTCCTCTTTATATTTAACATTATTTGCAGGGGGGAGGGTGGATGGGAATTACCTTTTCTACAATATTATCATGGTTATTTTCCTACTTTATGGATTTCATCAAAATATTACTTTTCTAAAATAGTATTCCGAAGAGTTTCTTTTTTACTTGCATTTTAATACAATTTTAAGCCATCTCAGGAGAACTTTTAATTTGGAATCTTTCAGCTGGATTTTTTATTGCTCAATACATTCAATGAAAACTTAAAAAAAAATTAAATGTATGCCTCAGCAATGGAGGACAGAAACATGGCATGCACTGATTTTTAAGGGAGCAAATTAATTAAATATACTGACTGAATGTAGATATTCAATTAAGCAGCTAATAACATTGAAAAATAAAAAATTTAAGCAGGTGCCTCTTGGCATGGTCATGTGTTTCTTTTGCCTTTTTATTTTAATATAGAAGTCTTTTTATGTTATGAGCTAGGGGTGCGAAATGAGCCACATTCGATTCAGATCTGGCCTGAATCAGGGACAGTGATTTGATTTGTTGATTTGGATCACTGTCCCCAATTCGATTCGGCTGAATCCAAATCTGAAGATTTGATGCCAATTCAGAGTTTCGGAATTCAGCCATAGATACAGCTTTAAATATTTTTTCTACATACCTCAGGGTACCAGGCATGGCTCATGAATGCTGCAATGGTGGGGAGGTTGGGCATGCCACAGGAACACAACGGGGTCCCCTCCCACACCCCTCCGGCTTTGTGATTGGACACAGGGGAACCCTGGGTGCCCCCCCCGGCTCACCAGTGGGCTCCCCGGTGGACCTGGAAGTGGACCGGAAGTGCTTCTGGTCCACTTCTGGGTCTGCTGCTGAGCGTGCTGGGGACTTCCCGTACTCCTGTAGGATGTTCCATCTGCCCCACCATCTCAGCATTCATGAGCCACCTGGTACCTTCAGGTATGTAAAAAAAACAAATTTCAAGTGATGTCTATGTATGAATCATCAAATCTTTCCGAAACTCTCTGAATTGATTTGGAGGTTCTGATTCAATTCAGAGAGATTAAAGGGTCTCCTGATTCAATTTGGATTCAGAGATTTGGCCACTGAATTGGGCCGAATCTCTGCTGAATTGAATCAGCGACTGGAGCTTCACACAGTCACCTGCGAAACTGAAAGTATGTGAAAGTACTCTTGAATACCAACTCAGACACACCTGGATGGTAATTTTTTATTTATTTATTTATTTTTTCATTTAGGACATCCTGCTTTATGTATTATACTTAACTGAACTGCTCCATTTCCTCAGACACAGGCACACCTAGACTAGGTACAGATGTTCAGAGAGCTTTGGGAAAAGTCAGATCATGTTAATAATAGCCACCTGATCTAAGTTCACCCCGGTGAGGACCTTAGGTGGATCTAAGTGCTAACTATACAAAGGACCTTAGGTGGATCTAAGTGGAAACTATACAGATGTTCAGGACAGTTAGATAGGTCTAAAAGTGGCCAACCCAATCTTAGTTAATCCTACATCTGATTCTATTTATAATGGCAGATAATCTAATTTAGACCACACCATCTGAGGTAATTTAACTTAGATTGGGTTGGCCACTTTTAGACCTCTCTCAACTGTCCTGAACTTCTATACAGAACTTCTGTACAGTTCCCAGCACAGCACAGGGGCTAGAAAAGGCCAGCCACTGGTCCCAACCCTGGGGCTCCACTTTTCCTACACTCTCCCTGGCAACAGACTATTCTTAGCCAATCAGCCCCTCCCCACACCCCCAGACAAATAACACCCCCATGCCCACTGCCCAGCCCCCCAGCCCCAGCCTGCCAAAGCCCGTGTCCCACAAGCCACTCCCAGTGCCCATTTTACTGGTGTTCACCAGTGCCAGGAGCTGAGTAAGTAAGTAGGGGGGGAGGAGTTGGTAGAATGGGGGGGGTCACTTCAGGTGGCCCTAAAATTAGCCCCTGGTCCTGGAAGGTGGTGGTGGGAACCCCCCTCTCCCCCCATACCCCCCACCTACCCCATAGATCCTGTCTGCCCCCTTATTCCACCCACAGGCCTGCTAGTTTGGTATTTTGTTTTTAGCCCCAGGCACCAATAAAAAAGCTGTCAGTGGCTGAAGAATATTCCTCCCCACCACAGTAGATACATAGAGCAAATCTCTCATAACCCTACATTTTTGTTCTCTGATGTCCATTATTTAATTAATATTTATGACCTTTTACCCCCTACCCCCCGCCTGAACTCCCTCTTTAACAGAAAGCCTCAGTTTGAAAGTATGAACATAAAACAAGTACAACTGTCACCACTGGAAGTAGGACTATGGCCCTAGGAGTTATTTTAATGAGACAAATTCAATCACATTGGGCATTTATACACATGCCCTAGGAGCGCTTTAATTAGAGCAGCTCTGAATGCCACTCTAATTAAAGCGCCTGGAACGTCATGTGTATCATCATCCCTGCATTGAAAAATGTTGGTGGGGGCACTTTACCTGAAGTCTAGCTGAAGTTCATTTAACTGAAGCTTTGAACGAGCACCAGTTAAAGCACCTCCACTGCCATTTTTCAGTGCAGGGATGTTGATACACCAGATACCGGAGTCTGCTGGAGTGCAGTAATTACCATGCTCCAGCAGACTCGATTAATTGATTAATCAAGTCTGCTCTGACTTGATCAGCAGGGGGAGGAGGCAGTCTGCTCCAACATATTGTAATTACAGCACTTCAGAGTAGCCCCACTGCTCATGTATAGGCACCCATCACATTTATTTTCAAATGGTTTCATAAATGACCTGAACATCTGACACACCACAGCCTTTTTCATAACATGTTTTACAACATTGTAAAAATGATAAAAGCCTTTCCA